TTTTCTATGGCTGGTAGCCATGCTTGTTCAGTCTCGTCGTTCTTGTTGAGCAAGTTGTATATTGTCGAGTATATGGCTTCTTTGAGTTGTCTTATTTTCCAATCTACTTCTTTTGTGGCATTCGCACATATTTTCGAAGGAAATGGTGAGTGTAAGTTTAAAAGCGAGATTTTTGCTGCTCCCCGCCCATCTCCATTAAAGACATTAATGAGTTAAAAATTGTGCTATTTAGGGGCTTGACTAATTAAGCTGCTATTTCTTCCTTTTTTAATTACAGACTACACGAAAAAAAGAAAGGCTGACTCATTACACACCGTAGCAACTAGCTTAGAATACCATTACACACCATAGCAACTAGCTTAGGATACCATTACACACCATAGCAACTAGCTTAGGATACCATTACACACCATAGCAACTAGCTTAGGATACCATTACAGACCATAGCAACCAGCTTTGGGTACCATCACAGACCATAACAACCAGCTTTGGGTACCATTACAGACCATAAAAATTAGTCTCTGTTATTGTCAGATATGCGAGCTAACAATTAATACTTCATTACACACATAAGTAAATAGGTAATGATCTAATTATAGGTTTTGGAAATCAAGGTAGATTTTTCAAATGAACTATTCTGAATTGTTTTAGTAAGTCTAAGGGATATATGTGAGTTCCACATTTTAGTCCCGAAGGGGCTGCGCTAACAAGCTTTTATTCTTTGGTTTAGTCCGACTGTAGTTTCTCCACAATTACAATTAATTTGATATATGACCGAATTTGATCCTGTGGTTGTTCGGGAATTCAGGTATGATGTTAATTTGTTCGGACATGAGGAAAAACAGTTTTATCCTTAATTTGTTTAATTTTTGTTTTATTACTTCAATTCCAGGTGTGTACGGTAAGGTGATGTAGTGTTTTATTTTTTCTCTTTATTTTCATTTTATGTAATGGTGACTTTTGTATGGTTTTTTAATTGTGTTGTTGTTATTATCTTGTGAATTTCATCGTCTGGATAATTCGAGTTTTTTAAGATTGGTGTGGGTTGTTATAAGTCCTCATCTTGTTCTTTGGTGTTTTGTGTGGCACTTATTATTCTAGATGTCATATTGGATACGATATTTCTTTTTACAGATTTATGGTGGCAAGATTGATAATTTAACAATGTGTTTGCAGCGGTTTGTTTTCTAAACCACCTAACATCTATTTTATTATCATTTGTGTTCTTGGTTAATGTGGTATCAAGAAAATTAATTTTATTATCCTTTTCAAATTCTGTTGTGAATCTGATTAATTCTGTATGACTCATTTTAGTTATTATTAATATATCGTCGACGTATCTAAATAGTTTTTGTTCTGTCCCTAGAGCATGTACTGAGTTCAGGGTACTCGTATACTAAGAAAGCCTTAGCAAGGTGCCTGATATGGGTACTTCGAAAATTTTCAGTAATTATACTGATGTAGGCACTGTATTGGGTACCCGCACCTGTAATTTTACTGAAAAAGACTCTACAGGGTGTCCTAGATTTTTCGCGTTCTGTGTAGCGACTGTTCATTCACCGTTTTCTTTGGCGCGGACGGCTCCTTATAAACAACTCGGCAAATCATAAGAAACTAAACTATTTTCATATTTTTTCTTCTAGATTATTTCTTGACTATTTATTAGTCGAGAATGTGCCGATCTTAATCGTCAATTAAGAGCGGACTACTCTGAAGTGGTCTGATGGAGATTCGACCAACCCAAGTTTGATCAAATCCCAAAATCTGACCTGTTGAAGTTGTCAGAATTGGAAAAATAAAATAAAATTGAAAAAATGTAGCAACTTGCTTTGAGACAAAAAAAATGAAAAAGGCCAAAGATTAGGATCGATGATTAGCATATTGCAATTTTGGTAACAGGGTATCTAAGGATACTATGTAATGGTACCCGGTTGAGTACTTGATTAGTACCTTCAAGTACCCATTTACTAGACACTTTAAAGCAGAGTACCCACCCCAGTACTTAACACGTACCTAAAAGTACTTTAAGGTACTTCAGTACCCGAAAGATCCTGTGACATACTAGTATCAGGATACTTTTTCAGGTACCCTTAACTCAGTACATGCACTAGGGGTATTTACTTTACTAAGATGCTTACTAATATTGTCGTCCAGATATAAATCTGCTAGTATGAGTGATAAGCAGTTTCCCATTGGTAAGGCACGTTTTTGTTTTGTAAAATTTGCTATTAAATTCCGTACAGTTGTTACTTAAAGATAGAATGAGCAGTTTCTTTAGGTCTATCTTACTCAATGTTGATTCATTGAAAGTTGTTGAATTTTCAATTCTGTTTATTGCTATGCCAACAGCTCTTGTTAATGGTATATCGGTAAACATATCTTAGACATCTAAGCTTGCGAGATTTTCGCCTTCTTTCATATTTATTTTAGTTATTTTGGTTACAAATTCAGATGTGTTATTCATTGTATTGTCGACTGTTGTTCTTAGTTCTTTAATAAAAGAAAAGGCGAAATTTGATATTGATGGCAGTATTGTGTTTCTCAAGCAAGTTATTAGTCTCATTGAGTGATTGACTTCGTGCAATTTTGGTTAACCTCGAATTCGAGGTAAGTCTTCAATTGAATTTAGTTGAAATTTCAGACTTTGTTTTATTTTATTTTATTTGAGCAATTTTTCGGTGAATGCAGAAATGTTCTTTTTGTGTACTAAAAAAAAAAGAGTACACTATAGAATCGGTCAGTGTGTCCGGCCGTCCGTTTATTCGATAACTCTTCACAATTACATTCGATTGAACTGAAATTTTGTGCACAGAATTGTCTTATCAATATCTAGGTCGAGTTCGAAAATGAGAAGGATCCGTCAAGAAATGGCTGAATTATCGAGAAAAATGTCATTTTTGATCAGACCATCCCTGAGGGGGAGTACAGGGATTTTTCAAAAAAAACTTTTTTCTCAGAATTATACACAACATATATAAATCATCTCAGTTTTTAACGCTGATTCTGAATCTGGTGTTAGTTTTGAACTAAACCGTAGCTTTCTAACGAAACATCGCCTGAAAAACGTCTCAAAATGCACAAAAACTGCATCCAGAAATCAAATTGCCTAGTTTCTCATGATAATTTTGGTGTTCAAACATTCCAGAATGACTCATATGTCCCATGCACTTTTTGAAGTACACATAACTCTCGGATGAAATCCGGTTTCCACATTTTTATTAATAGGATTTGCCATTTGTTCATACATTTTCGTATCATTCAGCTTTTCTTCAATTTTTGAAAAGTAATCATCTTTATTTAATGTTACCACTTTTCCACCTTTGTCAGCTTCAACGATCATGATATCCTTTTTATTTTTGATTTATTTTAGGGTATTCCTTTCATCTTTTGTAAGGTTATCAGTATTTGGTTTTCACCATGTACGTGTGAACGTCATGATTTCGTTTATTGCAGTTTGTTTTTATTAAGTTTGGTGCTGTGAATAATCCTTTTTCTGTATGTGTTATATAGTCGATTAAGTTGACAGATTTTTGGCGTTAGAACAAACTTCAAGCCTTTTTCTAGTACATGTACTAGTCGACGCTCTTGACTTCGATATGTCCTGATTCTTGTTTTTCTTGAACATCAGGCAAGATTCTTGTGTTCTTGCATTCTTGTCTGATCCTTGTGCTCTTGCAATTCTTACATGATTCTTGTTTTCTTGCAATTCTTGCATGATTCTTGCTTCTTGCCATTTTGGCAAGATTCTTGTTTTCTTACAATTCTTGCTATTTTTGAAAAAATTCTTGCAATACTAATGAATTTCATTTAGGCATCCATACGGTTACCTCCTTTCGATCCTATTATATTTTAATTTCAAATAAAAAAATACAAGAAAAGTACATTACATGCGCAAGAGAACATACAATAAGCTCATAACGCGTACAAAAAGATTAAAAAAAAAGAAACGAAAACACTTGAACACAACTATCTATTTAAAAAACATATCTGTTATAGTTCGTCCGCGTCATCTAGAAAAATATATCTTGAATAGTGTCCAATATTTTAGTACAATTTATTTGATTACTTCTTTTTATTTAACTTTATTTTCTATCATCATATTTACAATCAAGCTTTTCGAAAGAAATCTGTAATTGAACTTTCCCGGTTAGTTTTTAATTCGATGTAGGCATCAGTAAGTTTTGATTCTAGGTTAGTGACGAATTGATGAAGTTCCAGTTGGCGAGTAGACGCAAGTAGATGAAGATTTCGAACCATTTCAAGCGCATCAACGAGCGAAGGAGGTTGGGCGTGGGTGTAAGGTAATGACACGACGTCATTTTCCAAATGATATGAATATGTGATGTAAGAAAAACAATAGTATTTATACTCTTATTATCATTGACGGAACAATGAGAAGTGTATAGATGAATTGTTCTTTTTGTTCAATCGGATTAACTTTTCTTTTTCTTTCTCTTCGAACAGCAAGGAGAGATGAGATGAGAAGAAAAAAGAACATTCTACTTCTTATAACATTCACTATATCTGCCCATGTGAGCGAGGTAGATGTACACTAGGGGCTGAAAAAACAATGCCCATTCTTCGAGATTAGAGGTGCCCTTGTTAGAGAGACTCATACTCAGCAAAAATTGATCGGTTGTTCCCCCCAGTGCCCATATAAGTGAGGTGCCCTTGTTATAGGGGTACCCATGTAAAGAGATTTTACTGTATTTATAAGTATATATACACGAAACATCACGTGATAGTTTTCTTTAAGATATAATAAGAATCGTTGAAAGGAAAAGAAAAAAGATTCTTGTCTGAATTTCAAAAAATCTTGAATATCTTGCCATCCTTACCTGATTCTTATTTATCTGAGCAATCAGACAAGATTATACTTTTCTTGAAAAACAAGCAAGAATCTTGTTTCTTTCCTGTCCCGAAGAATCTTGCCTGAATATTATGATTACAAAGAAGCTTGTCTGGTATTCAAGTAGAACAAGAATCTGGACAGATCGAAGTCAAGATCGTCGACTAGTGCATTCAATTGTTGTTTGTTTAAGTGGATGTTTGATAAATTGACGAGATTCGATTGTTTGTTCTCCATCATTATTATCTTCGTTACTTTTGTCTTTCTTATTGTTTATTGTTGATGTTTTGTTTTGTTTGTATTTTAGCGCCTTCAATTTTCTATTGTGTGTTGCTCGTATTATATTTTTATTTTTATCTTGTGTACGGTAGTACATCCATTGAAGGCCTAATTTATGGTCTCTATTTTGTTGGTATTTATTCCTGTAGCACTTCAATATTGCTTGTTGCGGTTTTATTTCGATTGTATTCCATCTTTGTTGCATGTAACGCCATTGTAACGTATTGTTTCTTAATTTTATCATTGTATTATGAGTTATTGTTTTATTTCTGTAATTATTAGTGTGATATTTTATAATAAAGCCTTTTGGAGTGAAGTTATGGTGTTTACACTGTTGGAGGAAATTTATATGTTGCTCAATTTCGTTTTGTTTTATTAACAGTTTTTTCAACTTTTTGGCTATTGTTGTTGTTCTCTCTCCATAGAGATTTTTGTAATTACATGTGTTGAGGAAGGCCATTATAATTGTATTATTTTGTTTTTTTTCTCTTCCTTTTGTTTTAATGTTTTTTATTAATTATTTTCCGATTAGAATAAGTAATTATTTTAAGACGTTTCGGAGATATATTTCTCCTGCTTCAGTTTTATTTTATTTGATGTTATGTTTTTGTTTTTACTGTTTACAATACGTATCTGATTATTCTTTTAATTTTAATTTTAATAGTGGAACGGAATGACAAGACGGTAATACTGACTGATAAAGCTTGTATGTTTTGACGTTCCGTTCCACTATTAAAAGAAAAAGAAAAAGAACAGTCAGATACGTATTGTAAACAGTAAAAACAAAAGCATAACACCAAATAAAATAATACTGAAGAAGGAGAAATATATCTCCGAAACGTCTTAAAATAATTAATACAAAAAAATTAAAACAAAACGAAGAGAAAAAAAAAAATAATACAATTATAATGACCTTCCTCAGCACATGTGATTATCCATCATGTATATTTTTTTTAGACGTAATGTTTTTTTGCCTGATGTGACGAAGTCATAATGCTGATATAATAGAAGATTTATCTCCTTCAAAGTCATTGGATATCAATAGGAATCAATTCAAAACTACTGTTTTTTTAATTTTTTAGTTAGAGAGGATTCTACTGTAGTAGGTTGTAGTGCAAAGAAAACGTCAAACCATATTACAAATTCGATGTCAAGTCTAATCATTTAGTCATCATAAATGGAATAAAATCGACGAGATGAATACTAAAACGTAGTTACTCTATTCGAGTATCTTGGAAGAAAGAAGAATTAAATTTTGTTTTAGATATTTCTGGAGTTAAGATAGATTTTCACTTGAGAATCTTTGGATATCTTTTCTGTTGTTTGTTGCTCTCTTTTAGATTACGTATGCTCTATTGGCGAGGTCTTTCTCATATGTTGCATAGAACTTATATCGAATATGCACATTGGGTTCCTCGAAAATTATCTATTGTTTTAATTCTGATTATAGCAAGCATTATATTGATTACCATAAATGTTTCAGCGAAGCGATACAACCACGAATCGACCAATGACGATGAGCTACCCAAAAGTGCACTATTGAAAGAAACTTTGAATCCGCTACGCTCACTTCTCTCTCCCGAGCTTCAATGGTGCTCTTCTAATCCATTCTTAGCTAATTTTAAACCAAAGGTTGTCATGGAATTGGAGAAGAAATGGCTAAAATGGAGTCGAAATCAATTTTCAACTGCATATGATGCTATGATTGAATACATTTTCGTAGCCCAGCAAGTTCGAGATCAAATTGCTAAATTTGCTTATCCAGTCTCATTGCCATTACCTTGTTTTTCTGAAGATGGCCTAAAGCGCTATGGTACTCGTGATGAAACAGGGAAAATACTTTGCGCCATTGATAATCTCAAACATGTCGATAAATGTGTTATTTATAGTTTAGGCTCAAACAATCAGTTCGATTTTGAAAGTGATCTTTCTGCTCACACACATTGTGAAATTCATACATATGACTGTACGAGCTTTCCACCGACCAAGCCGATCGAACGCTTATCATTTCATAAAGTATGTCTTGGAAAACAACCACAGTTGCAAAGTCACATATTTCCGAATGTTCAATATTATCATCACGTAGAACACAAAGCTTTTGACAAGAACTTCAAAAGTTTCCAAAATATACTCAAAGAAAATAATCATACACAAGTACATATTTTAAAAATGGATATCGAAGGAGGCGAGTACGCAGTATTTGCAGATCTATTTGAACCAGTCAATCAGATCTATATGCCTTATCAGATAACGTTCGAATCTCATTGGTGGAATAAAGATATTTCTCATGCAATAATGCACCAACAAATGTTTTCACAATTCTGGAAGTTGGGCTATAGATTTTTACAACATGAACCCAATCCACAAAACAGAGCATGTATAGAATGGACATTGTTACGTGTTTTTTGTTAAATAAATAATAAATTTAAAAAAAATACCCATTGTGGCACTGTACACAACTTCTAATATATAATACGGTTTATACTATTAGGGATCTAGATTTTATTTTGTTCTCTATAGAAAACTGACAATAATAAAGGTGCAGATAGAGTTTTTTTTATGTAGATGAATAATTATATTCATTTATTGATGATTTGTACGATCTTTCATCAGATAATACTATTGTTCATTTTATTTTCCTACAGAATCTCATTAAAAATAATTGGTATGATGCAAAAATTATTGAATGTTTCACACATAAATACAAACATCTGGGAAGAGCCTTCTGAAATCTTGATGAGCCTTTTTAGATTTTCTTGCTCATGTACCAAATTTTAAACTTTTTCAAATATGTTTGTATGAATGCAGCAGTGGTAATAGCCAGTTAACCAGTAACTGTAGTCGATATGCCTATACACACTGTAGCTCCTATGTGATAATTACCAAGAATTTATCTAAACGGATTCTTAATCTTCTCTGTACTTTAGTATTCAGGTCGAGGTTTACGGGGTCCATTTACGGTCGTAAACGGTCGTGTATGCTCCGTTCACGATCGTATTTGGCCGTGATACATGGCTCATTATTACGATCGCATATTGCCGTGTCGTATACGGGGCAAAACGAAGATCGTAAACGACTCCGCTAGTTCAACCTGGACACTCTTATTTTTAGGATAACTTTGTTGACTTTCACATTGTTTTGATGACTCATTATGATTTTTACTATCCAAATGACTTGATATGATGAACAAAGAAGTCCAAAAGTCTCAATTCATTTGTTTCTCTCTTCCTAGAATCAATAACTGAATATAGGACACTTATTACAATTGCAAGATTCTGTGTCATTGATTAACTTTTCATAGTTATATAGAATATTTTTTCTATTATATATTAATGTTAGCTCTAATATCTATAGAATGAAAAGAATATATAAGGAATGAAAGAGAGATATATTAAGAGCGAAAGAGACAAGCAGTGGCATTGATGTTATGTGACAGAACGAAGAAGAGGTGAATCTCATGAGCCTCGAACCCACACCTTCCGCTATCCGAGTAGATGTCCTAACCAGTTAGGCTAGAAGAACATCTTAATCTTCTTTTAGCGTTAGTAAGTTACATCACTAACGCTAACAATTAATACAAATGGTGCTATTTGTACGCATTATCGTCAAATACACGAATTTGGTAGTTTCTATATTTATTCTATGTTAATGATCGTCCAAGTAATATATGACCAATTTTCGATCTGTTTGTGCGATATGGGGGTAAATGAACATAAAGCTTCTGTGACTGAGAGCTGTTTAACCTATAACACAACTTTGATTAAACGAATTATTTCAACAGAACAGAATCAATTTGCTTGCAGTGAAATGATAATATACATGATCAGGATTTCTACTCACGGTAACTGTATTCAATCATTTTCAAGAATTATATCTTCGACCATATGTAAGTCTGAAAGCTCATAATTTTCAACTATAAACCAATTCTATTCTAATATTAGCTATGGAGTTTTTATTATGTACTAAAAGGTATCTTTTAAAAGAGTAATTTGAATATCCGATAAAATACTTTTCTTACACAAGTGTCCATTATATCTCATCTTATCACACAATTTTAAAATCACTTTTGATTGTAATGATAATTCTTATTCATATGAATCTATTTATTAATCATCAATTTATTCTGAAACAATCGAACATATTGAAGAGAAAGACATCAAAAGTAAGAATTCTTTTAAAATTTTAAAATGGCAGATAGTTCGAAAGTTAGTCATCATCTATTTGACAGGAAAAAGCATAGTTAAAAAAAACAATTATTAAAAAAGTAGAATTGTATTTTTTCGTCATCTAATGGTTATTCTCCACGAGTACAAGTATATCACTAGTGCATTACGTACATTATAATATCAAAAGAAAAAAGAAGCGTATAAAATCATTGGCATGTTGTCCTATAAGCAGCTAAGTTTAATTTTGCTAGCCTGATAATCAATATTAGTCCCTGATTAATGTCACCGTAGTTCTAATAGTAAGTGCACTGATCTCAAATATCATGTTTTCTTTCAAACTGTAAGATACTTACAGAGATCTAAATTCTTCTCTGAACTGTTAAAGAGTAGTTTTTGAAGGAAAAGTCCAATAAATTTCGATTAGGATTCGTCGAAACTAATTACATTTGATGCATATTTCTTTTCTCTGTCAGAGCTTATAGGAATGTTTTAGACACAGAAGCTTTTTATCTTACGATAGATGCCAAATACCACTCCAATCGTGTACTTTTGTGATAAATAATGATGTTTTCAGTCTCATAAAGTTCTAGTTTCTACAGACGTGCCAGTGAGGTTTCCTCACCACAATAAGTAGTTCGACGTGCTATTTCTCATGATATAATTTTCAACTTGGAATTCGAGGTGTCTTAGAAAACATTTTCAATCCAACTATACTATACTAAAAAGACAATTTGTATATTTTTGTACTTAAGATTATTTTCGAACGTACGAGAAAAATCCGTTTGCGCTTAACAAAGATAATGTTTGACTTCCATTTCTAAAGAGAATTAACTATTTTCTCCCAAGAAAGTTTTTTTTTAACTACCGCTACGTTCTGAATAAAACCAAACGAATGTTATGTATCCTTGTATCACACGATATTTTATTTAACAAGTTAAGTTATTTGTAAATGATGAAAAAGAAAAACATTATATACGAATACTAATGTTTATTTTTAGTTTGATTGTAAACAGATTTTTACTGGTACAACTAATGAGAAAAGTAGTTGAAGTGTCCTTTCGCCGTAGACTTCACATTTTGTTCACAAGTACACCTCAATACCAATTTCAAAGATTTTTCTGATCATTTCAAATCAGATTCTTTCAAAAGTAATTACCTCTTATTGCAATAGTCGTTGATAGAATAGTTGAATAAAAATAATATTAACAATATTTAAAAGAAAAAATTCTCTCCAAATTAACAGTAGTGTCAAACTTGAAACTTGAGTTCAACTGAAACTTCAAATTTCAAGTTTCAAGTTTCAGGTTTGACGTTATTGCTCTGACACTACTGCTTCCCCGGCACCCACATTAAGGGTACATATGTGTGTGTAGACAAGCGTATCTCCCTTCCCCGGCACCCACATTAAGGGTACATATGTGTGTGTAAACAAGCGTATCTCCCTTCCCCGGCACCCACACCCTTGAAAGTTGAAAGTTGAAGGTTGAAACTTGAAAGTTGAAACTTGAAGTTTCAGTTGAATTCAAGTTTCAAGTTCGACATGTATGCAAATTAATACATCTATTTTAGGATCTGCATTATCTCGATACATTTGTCGAAAGTATGATAATATCAAGACTAATTATAACAAATAAAATCGGCGAATTACCCAGTAATATTCAAGTTATACCACTAAAAGAATCTCCTCTTAGAAGTTAACTTTAATTGAGTTTTTTTTCATTTTTGCACTTTTTTATTGTTATGGAGTACATTCTCTTTTCTTCTTCCATTATACCTATCCCATGTTGAGAAAACGTGGCCATAAACGACTCTATACGAAGCAATATGATGATATGCGGAGGAAAAAACGGTCGTTTACTATCCTCATACAGAGTTTGTATACAATTTCGGTTTTGATCCGTATTTCTCCGTATGCGATCGTATACAGTCACATTGAAAATCAATTGATCCACATGTTTTCTGATATCTGAACATCCTTAGCATTGTTATGGAGTATCTCTAAAAAAAACAAATAAATAAATGATATTATTCATCACATAGGAATTTTGCTATTCATAATTGTATCTTTAAAATGACTAATTAGTTGTCAACGATTAATTAACTTGTATATTCAGTAATACTTGCACATCACTGATCAACCAAGCAGATTTTGTTGAACACTCAAAAGAATGCTCATTTTCACCCAGAAGACACACTATACAGTCATTCTAAATCAGGATGGTAATGAAGAATAAACAGACAACAGAAACAGATGATTTATTTTTTCTAAGACTTACCTTTACAGTCTAAGGTATATCGTACTATCAACTTTGTCACAAGCAGGCAGGCAGATGGACACAGATCAATGTCAATTTCTTAGGCCGGAATTGTTCTTAAAGTGCAAAGAATTATTTTTCGACTAACTCCCCAAATGTGTAAGCTTTATGAGGTCGGGTTTTCATCTTCAAAAAGAGTGATGTGAACGACATGGATCTGTATAAAATTCACTGAGTGAAAGCATTTTTTCTAAAGTTGTTTTCATAGATATATATTTTTTTGGTCTATTTTGACGAGTTTTCCTACGAAGTTAACATTAAATTAGACCAACATTTAGCCTAAATCTTTGTTTTCTTCTCGAGAGTTTTTTTTTTATACTTTAGTGTTAAACTATGAAAACTTTGCTGTAAATACAGAAAGATTTGGCATACGTGTTGGTCTAATTTAATATTAAATTGCCGAGACATTTTGACATTCGAACCTATCGTTAACAGTAAGGTAACGCAAATATGTAACTAGTTTTTGAGCGTAAAACCAAGGGATTTCATTTAGTTTATATAACTTATAATAACACTTAATTAGATCGATGATTGTAATTGTAGGCAAATTGTTTTCTATTTTGTATAGTAACCTTTTTCTTTGTCTCATAACTCATATCGATAACCTTTTTGATACATGTAATAACTGTATATTTTTCCTATAAAATATAAAATAAAATAAAATTGATTTGTTCATTTTTCAAAGTTTATTTGAGTAATAAATAACAATAATCAACATTTTTCTGCATGAGGAAAATAGTCTTTTAAATCTGGAGATAATTCTGGCTTATGGTATAAAGTTAGACATTTGATTTTGGAGCAATTCATTCGTGTGGCATCTCTTGTAAAATTACCCGTTGCGTGTTGTACGGAGTTATAATCGACACGAAGATAAATATCATTCAATAAACACTTTTTAGTACTATTCAAATTATTCCACATAATTTTCATG